GCTTATCTTCTGGCTAGTATTCCACAATGTGCAATTTATTACTAGGATAAAATACACAAAGATATTATATATATAAAATATACATGTTATAATATATTATGTGTATATAAAGCACAGCATTATTTAGCACTAGTTGGAAATTACCTAATTGCCCATTCATAGAAAACTTCTCATGCAAATTATAGGACATCCATTCAGCAAAACTTGGTGAGATGGGTCTGTATTTGTGGCTGTGGGTAAAGATGTACAGGTCATGTTGCTGAATTAAAAAAATAAGTATGTAGACATATTTGTCTGTATCCCTTCCACTAAGCACAACAAAAAATCCTGAATATTATATATAAAATAAACATTAGAAAACTTCGTAAAGTGGAAAGAAGACACACTAGCTAGGGACTTCAGGAGTCAAAGAATGACATGGTAGTGAGTTCTCTGGTTTTTGCTTATTTTATTTAATTCATTAATTCATTAATTTATGTTTTTTTGCCTCATTTAGTCCAGACTGCATACTAGAGAAGCTGGAAACTCAAAAACATCAATGAGTACAGACCACATTAGAAGCCCTAAGAGAGCCTGCTCTGTCCAGCCAAAGGACCAAGAAAGGCATAGTCTAGCAAGACCGAAAACTCTTGGACAATGACCACTCCCCCTCAGCCAAACACCACAGGAAAAACTGTGGTCCCCCCTCCCGCCACTCAAGCCACTCCAGCCCCTCCCCGTCAAGGGTGTTGTCAGAGCAGGCCAAGTGGGAAGATAAGGCATGCAGGAACAAGCCCATCCTCCCCCACACTGTTGGTGCAGAACACCTGGGGAGCCTGGACTTCCGCTGTCATCTAGACATTATGAGGTACCTCTCACCCTCCTTGCTAGGGTGGTGTCAGAGGAGGTGTAGTGGGAAATTAGGACTTTCACTACTGCTTAGCAGTAACAAGGCCACCCCCCCAAATTCAGGGTCAGTGGAGGCAATGTGGGAAGCAAAATGAACACCCTTACCCCTCACAGCCAGGGTGGTGTCAGCTGAGGCTTAATGGAAAGCTGGAGCTTCCAGCCCTGCCCAGCAACAGTAAGGACATCTTCCCTCTGGTGTCACTGGAGACCAAGGGGAGAGCCTGGAATTCTACCCCTACCCTGAAGTAGCAAGGTGGCATCTTGCCACCTGCCAGAGTGATGTCACAGATGACCTGCTAAAACACGAGTTAAATATGACCCTGAATCTCATACTACTGTACCAAAGTGTCCAGGTTTCAATTCAAAATCACTCGTCATATCTACAACCAGGAAGATCTCCACATGAACGAAAACAGAAGACTGCCAGACACCAACATGCGGTGACACAGGTTTAGAATGACCTGACAAAGGTCATAAAGCTGCCATCATGAAAATGCTTCAGTAGGCCATTGCAAACCTGCTTGAAACAAATGAAAAAGAGAAATTCTCCATAAAGACAAAAAGTCTCAAAACAGATTATTCAAAGAAGGAACAAATGGCAAATTTAGACCTGAAAAATGTAATATCCAAAATTAAAACTCAATGGATGATGTTTTCATTCTACAGAAGAATGGAAAGGACAGAGAAAGAAATCCGTGACCTTAATGGTAGAAACACAGAAATTACCCAATCTGAATAAAAGAGGAAAAAATAGACTGAAAAATAAAATGAACAGCCTAAAGGACCCATAGGACTATAACAAAAAATGTGTTGTCAGAGTCCACAGGGTGAGGGTGAGGAGGCATTCAAAGAAATAATATCTAAAAGTGACTCTACTTTGGTAAAAGATATAAGCCAACAGATTCGAGAAGCTGAGTAAACCTCAAATAGGATAAACCGAAAGGAATCTATGCCAAGAAACATCATCGCTAACTTCTGAAGATGTAAGACAAAGTAAAATATCTTAAGACAGCCAGAGAGAAATGATGTATCAATTATAGGGGGAAAAAGAAAGTAAAAAAAGAGAGAGAGAAACTGCATTTGAATTACAGCAGATTTCCCATCAAAAACCATGGGAGCCAGAAGAAAGTGGCAGTGCATTTTTTTCAAGTGTGGAAAGAAGAGAATCACCAACCTGGAGTTCCATATCCACTGAAAATATCCTCCAAGTTGAGAGGGAAACTGAGATACTCTCTGATGAAGGAAAACTAAGAGAATGTATTGCTTGCAGACATACTCTAAAACATGGCTAAAGGAAGTTCTCTGAGCACAAAGAAATGATAAAAGAAGCAATCTTGGGTATCATTGCACACTAGAATAACTAAAAGTTTTAAAAATGACAATACCAAATGCTGGTGAGGATGTGGGGTTCAGGGCTTTAGCCCCAGGAGGGATACTGGCCACCTTCCTTGTGGTGTCAGCTTCTCTGAAGAGCTCAATACAGCAGCAGTAGCCTCTCTGATCACAGACAAGAAGCTGGGCAATTAGCCTACCTCACCCCCATCACTGCTCTTCACTGTGGCCTTGAGAATGCCTCTTAAAACTCAGTTAATTTCATATTCTCACTGGAGCTGGGCATTTTTAAACTTCATTTGAACTCCAAGTAGAGAACAAACCATAGAAATCCTACTGTTTCTACAGACTGGTGGCTATTAAATATTCTAACTAATAACAATAGTAATACAGTAATATTTTGAGCCCCAACACGCTAACCAACGGTGTATCACCAACTCTTCATGCATCCTAGAAGGCCCCATTTCATGCAAGTAAATTAGATAAACACATGCCATTTTTTGACATTATTCTTGGTTTCGATGAGCAAGGATTTGTTTTGCTTCTCCCATTGGGAAATTTACACATACAGGATTATGATATGAGCATGAACTGTTGTGTGTGTGTTTTATTAAGCTCAGCATTCTTCTGTCTGTTAAAACAGACACGGTTGGTGTAGCAGGAAATGCAAGGCCTTGAGTCCAGGCTTGTCCACCTCCTGGGTGTGTGAGCTCTGGTTTCCTCACCTGTAAAATGGGTGAAATGCCTGAAGGGGCTGTTGTAAGCTTTGAATGCGACAACATGCATAAAACAGGGTCTAAAACTGGGACTAAAACAGGGTCTGGCCCACATGGCAGTTTGTGACACCTCACTTGTCTGTTGGCAGAAGAGGGGATTACAAGCCTCTTCCTTCATGGCCTTAAAGAAGTGGTAAATGGCTAATGCAAAAATGTCTTGAGGGGAGAATGAGGCAATAGATAATTCGCCAGCTTGCAGGCTTGATAGATAGTTTTGGCGGGGGAGAGTAATTAGTTTTATTTGTTTATTTAACTAATTTATTTTTTTAATGGAGGCACTGGGGATTGAACCTAGGACCTCATGCATGCTAGGTATGCACTTACCACTGAGCTAAACCCTCCCCTCCAATTGATTTTCACAAGATGTTCATGAGACCTTTAATTTAACTGAAAGTGGGTCTCAGCTTTATACTGAGAGCCTGTAGAGAAGGGTGGAGGTATTAAGAGATTTGTATGTTTTTTTTTTTCATCTGATGTTTCACTCTCCTACCCTGGGCAAGTCTTTTTTCCTATCTGGGCCTCTTTATCTACAAACGGGTTGACAGAGAGGCAAGCACTGCCTCCGAGCGAGCGCACTCGTATAAGAAAGGAGCCCACACTGTGAATGGCTTCTCAGTCAAGGCGCCTTTGCAGGTGGGTCTTTGTTCCTTGCCCGCAGGGTGTTGCTGTGACTGACGGAGCCATCTCCTAACCCACAAGCCCAGGATCAGTAGGATGGAAGCCACGCCCACCTCTCTCCAGCTCCCCACTTCCCGGGAGTCTCATTTCCCTAGCTTATTCAAGCCAGTTGCATCTTCTCTAGTGGGACAAGTGATGCCCCCCTTCCTCGGCAGGAAGTCAGGGACCCCCAAGGACACAGCCCCAGCCCAAGCTGGGAGAGCACCTGGCCTGAGCTTGACTGCTGGCTGCTCCGAGAGGGCACTTTCTCTAGTCCATGTGGCCCCAGAGCGTTTGTTCCTGTTGCTAAGATAGACCTAGATGGGCTTTTCAAGGAGCCAAATGCTGCTACTCTTCAGGAACCTGGTTACCCCGGTTACCTGGCAGGGGCATCTGTCTGCCACTAAGAGAGAGCCTTCAAGGTGACTGGTGCAGGAAAATGTTGCCAGGTGGAGAGCACTCCAATGGGGCAGAAGTGCAGAGAGTCTGTGAGGGGGTTGGCCAGGGCAGAAAACCTGTAGTGGGTAAAGGAAGGAGAAGATGCTGAAATATAAGGTGGGTCCTTCCCTTCCAGAAAGACTCCTGAGAGAGTTCAGGGGATTTTTCTAACCCATAAGTCTGATCATGTCCCTTTCTTATTTAAAACCTTTCAGTGACCCCTCTTGGTATCCCCCAAAATAAAGCCCACACCATGTGCTTGGTTTACAGGCCCTCTGTCCCCATCACTCTGCCTATGCACCCCCCCCCCAGCAGTCCTGCCCACAGGGTATCTTACCTCTGACATGCCTGTGAAGGTGTTTGGATGTGCTGGCTTCTCTCAGCAATGACTCAGGGAGCAACTTTTGTTTCAAGGAACCGCATGGGCAGGCCCGCCACTCCCTGGCTGGCCTCCTGCATCCAAAACAAACAGTCTGGCAGGCGGCATGTGGGCAGCAGAATGAAATGGGGGAGGGCATTTCAGGACAACCAGGAGAGCTTCCAGAGCAAAGCCTGTGGAATGGGGCTGAGGGGAGGGGCATGAACCTTCTCCAGCGGCAGACACAATCATGGTAGCTACTTATTGAGTACCTGCTCTGCACTAAGCCCCAGCCTCACAAACACTATGCAGCAGAGAGATCATTTAGCCAGTGAGGGATCTGAAGCTCAGAACACGCAAACAAGGGTCTCAGTCTCACAGCCAGCAAGCAGTAGATTTGAACTCGGGTCTGTCTGGCAGCAACAGCATCCCTTTGCAACAGCATCGTGGGTCAAAAAGCTTAGCTCACAGAGATGTGATCATTTCGGTCTTTGTGAAAGCAGATTTTCTAAACAATGCTGATCATCTCTCTCTGACAAAAAGCATGAATTGATGGCTTCAGAGACTGAGCTTTCTGAGTTGGGCAGTTGGTTTGCCATGCTGGACTGAACACTGGACTGGTGGCCTTATAAATGAAGGGCCAGAGAGATAGCAGAAAAAGGAATCCCACAGCAGGAAATCCAGGGAACCCCTCTCACTCAGCTTCCTGGGTAACTGTAAATGCCCCACTGGAAGTGGGGTGGCTTTCATGAGGGATCAGGACCTTGTGGCAGTTCTTTGTGTTCTGGACTGTGCCAGGACTCAGCAGCCCCTCCCCGCCAGGTCCCTCGTGGCTGGCTGGATCCCCTGATACCCTACCTAAGGGCTCCATTCTCCCAGGCTCCTGAGCCCGTCTTCAAAGGTGCTCAGCATCCAGAGCTAAGCTTGGGGCTTGGAGTGAAGGCACCTGGGGCTGCCACTGGGCGTGAGCCCTGGGCAGCTGCGTGCCATGCTCACGCCCAGTTTGTCCCACTGGACTTCCTGTCGGGCGTCCTTTGTGGCCTAGGCCCTTTCTATGCCTGGAAACCACTTTGTTTCTGCCTGCTTTCCTTCCCAAAGCCAGGATCTGCCCCCAGGTGTCCCCACCATCTCTGGCAGGGAGCCTGCCTCCCAGAAACCAGCCACAATTTCTTGACCCCACCTATCTTCAGGGCACTGTTCTAGGGACTGAGGCTAATGAGATAACTGAGACATGGTTCCTGCCCTTCAGGAAATCATGGCCCCTTGGCAGAGAGACCCTTATATTTCAAACTGGGGAACAGTGAGGTCACGGAGGAGACAGGGTCACTCCTCTCTGAAAAGTCAGAAAGATTCCCAGAGACAGTCTTGATTGATGGCTTAGTGCTTGCTTCTCAGCGTAGGCAGGTTTTATTTGTGGGAGACTAAGGGGTGGGATAGGGCAGGAGGGAAAAGCCATTCTGGGCAGAGGAAGCAACATGGAAAAACAAACAGGAGGGGAAACAATCAAAATGTCCATCTATAGGAGAATAGATAAATTGTGCTTTATTCATAAAATGAAGTATTACACAGCAATAAAAGAAAATCAGACATTATAACACACAATGACATAGGTAAATCTCACAACCACAATGTTAAGCAAATGATATTGGGCCCCAAAGAGACAGAACATAGTGTGTAATTACAATGACATGAAGTTTAAGGACAGGCAGAACTAATCGATGGTGGTAGAAATGAAGCAGTGGTTACCGCTGGCTGTCACAGGAAGCCCTCTGGGGTGTTAGGAGTGTATCTTGATGTGGATGTTGGTTACACACTGTATTGGCCTTAATGTTTAAGAGTTGTAGACTGTACTGTATGCCTTAGCTCAGGTTGGTATAACAACACCATGGGCTGGGTGGCTTAGACAGAAATTTATTTCTCACAGTTCTGGATGCTGGAAGTCCAAGATCAAGGTGCTTTCTGGCTGATTCAGTTCTTGGTGAGGGCTCTCTACCTGACTTGCTGATGGTCACCTTCTCGCTGAGTCTTGACATTCTGGGGAGGTGAACTCTGATGTCTCTTCTCATACGGACACTAATGCTATTGGATCAGGGCCTCACCCATATGACCTCATTTAACCTTAATTACCTCCATTTTTTAAGCTCTATCTCCAAATATAGTCACATTGGGGGTGGAGCTTCAACATATAACTTGGAGGGACACATTCAGCCCATAACACTATACTTAAGTTATATTTCAAAAGGAAACAAAATAAAAGAAGAAGAAAGAAAGAACACTAATGTCAATTCCTCGTTGCCAGAGATTCTGATTCATTTGGTCTGGGATGGGATCTTGTCCTAAGAATTTTTTTAAATCACTCCCAGTGATCCCAACATGCATCAAGTTTTGAGACCCACTAGAGTACTTCCTCTTGAAGACCTTCTCTCTCTGAGGTTCTAGGACTTGAATCTGGCAGGAGAAACCAGCTGCTAGGCTTATCCTGGAATGCACAGACTGCAGTGCTGGATAAGAAAATCGGAGCAAAGCTCTCTTTTATCTGGAGGAAGTCTTGCATGAATTGCTGGTGCAGAGACGGCTGCTGAAGCCTCCAGCCTGGGGGCAGTCTGGCCCTCTCACCACGTGACTGTGCAGACTTCTCAGGACCAGCCCCCGCGTGCACACCTGCATGGGCTGCTCTTGGCAGGGGCCCAGGCTTGGCATCCCTTTTCAGCTTCTCGAAAGCCCTGCTGAGGAGGCAGGAAAGCTGTGATTCGAATAAGCCACAGTGGGACTAGGACCAGGCGAATAATTGTGAATGGGATTCATGCTTGAGACTTCTGGTTCTCACAGCTGCGGATGGGGGGTGGTGGAGGGGGATCACCATGGGAATTCTGAGTATTGTTCAGGGCTGACTGCAGCTTCCATTGTTGGGCTCTGATTACAGCTTTGTTTCACCATAAAGTACAGTTATTAAATGCCAGCCAGGAACAAAGATGTATTTACTTGCCAGGGGGTTGGGGAAGGCAAGCTATTTTTAGAGCTGTCCTGCCACTAAGTCTGCTAATGGGGGAGGGGCTGATGGGGGTGGGGTGGGGGACACCTTCCAGCTTTTAGGTGAAATGTTTCTGAAGGAGCAAAGATAATTGAAAATGGTGAAGAAGCCATCGCAATCCTGCTCTAATCCACCTAAGTCAGTGTGTTTCTATTTATTTATTTTTGTGTCCAGGGGAAGGGGCATGGTGGAGGGCACTTGGGAAAGCAAACTGAAGTCCCCCTGTATTAGTCAGAGATCTCCAGAGAAACAGACTAATAGGAGATAGATAGATAATATATAGATAGATAGGAAGGAGATTTATTACAGGAAATGTCTTACACGGTTATGGATGCTGAGAAGCCTCACTACCGGCTCTCTACAAGCTGGAGAATCAGGAGCCAGTGGTGTCGTTCAGTCTAAGTCCTAGGGCCTGAGGATCAAGGGGTCAATATTTGAGGGCAGGTGAAGATGGGTGTCTCAGCTCAAGCAGAGAGAGTGAATTTACCCTACCCTTGCCTTTTTCTTCTATTCAGGCCTTAAATGAATCGGACGGTGTCAACCCACATTAGGGAGGGTGATCTTCTTTACTCAGTCTACCAACTCAAATGTTAATCTCTTCCAGAGATACCCTCATAGACACGCCCAGAAATAATGTTTTACCAGCATCTTGGCATCCCTTAACCCACTCAGTTGAAACATACAATTAGCCCCAAGACTGGCATCCTGGGTCCTTCCAAATCCGGCCCATCTTATTTCCCCAGCACCGTATCCACATGGCCCTGCTCCCAGCCATACCAAATTCCCCAAGGTCCTAGACAGCAATGAAGACTTCTCTCCCAGTCACCTGGATATGGGTGAGGTCCACAGCAGGTGAAAATAACTCTAGAACTGACTGCCTGCCCAGGTGAGAGACTCTGAGACTGTGTCACCCACCTTGCTCAGGTGGGCTCAGGAATTGAGCTAAACGAGGTGATACAATTACTGACGCGGATGGAAGCATTAATATGTGCCAGGCACTTGGCTAAGAGCTTTACATACGCATTGTTTTATTTACGACTCATGATGAGGCTGTGAAGTATTACGGGGAGTGTCGACTCCATTTTACAGATGAGGACATGTGGAGGCTCAGAGAAACATGGTAGCAAGCCCCCGGTCACAGCTGGTCAGCTCAGGTGGACTCCAGAGACCGGGCTCCTTGCTTGTCTTTCCAGGGTCAGCTGGTGGAAGCTGTGACTTCTGCTTCCCTTCCCCTGGGGGTCCCGGCCTGGCACGCAGTCAGCCTCCCAAACACTTGAGGCATTGGTTCTTGTTGACGGTAAAGAAACTCTTCTGATGACAAGCAAGACGGATGAGAGAAAGCAGTGGCTTTTGACTCGAGGAGGAGCTTGGTTGGCGTCAGATGGGTGAGTTGCAGGGGTCTGAGGAGGAATTCCCACAGGCCCAGGGGCTTGTAAAGCCCAAGACAGGCTCATTCCCAGATCCTCTCCCAGCTTCGTCTGGAAAGAGCCCTTCACTTTCTAGAATATTCCCAACTTTGATGTGGTAATTAGCTACCTGAGCAAGCACCTGGCCTTCAGAATAAACTTCCTTTTCAAGTTTTCATGCCACTCTGAAGCAAGAGTCCACGTGTTTGAGTGACAGCAGGCATTGCGTGCTCCACAACATCAGGGCTTTACCACATCCCGCACCTGCCACGTGTGGTCAGGATGATTAATGCATGACCTCCCTGGGGAATCTGACGGGGCTGGAACCTTACCAGAGCCCAGGGGTCACAGGGGTTGCCAGGGACCTGTATGTAGGGCTCCTGTGGCATCAGGCTCCCCCTCTGTTGCCTGATTGTCCGGAGGCAGGAAAGACCTGGTCCTGCTCTCTAAAAATCTTGGAGGCAATCCTCTCCCCTGACCTGCAATTTTTTTTTTTTGCCTTTGTGAACCTGGGATTTGAGTTGGTTGCTGACCTGTCTGGAAATCCTGTTCCTGCACCTCAGTAAGCATGATATACAGACAGT